GTCACCTTACCCACCGCTGGGAACCACAACTGTAGGCAAGCAATAACAGGTGGGCCCCAAATAGCCTGTTCCAGCCCGACTGGTTGAGTTGTTTTTGAAGCCTCAGAACGTAGCATTCAGGCACCGGCAAGACAGTGGCTGTTTCGACTAAAAGGTTGATGGATTGTGTGGAGATGTGGAGAAGGTTCGCTGCGACTACGCCTCAGCTGCGCCTGAGTTTGCTTTGAAGAGCTTCCCTATCCTCTCCCAAGGAGACACCATCCGCAATATTGAGTGAACGTTGATTAAGTTAGCAATGTACTGGTTCTTTGTGTTTTGAAAATATGCGGCTTAACCTTAAGGTTTCACTTCTAGGCCTCGTATCAAGCAAATACTGCTACTGCAGACACATAGGCGCGCAGTTCAAACCCGAAACATGGGGCAGATATGAATAGGGATGTCTTGAAATTGCCTTCCTAGATAATTCCTATTGTCACTTTCTCTGCGCAGACAGATTTCGCAAAGCAGCAAAGATTGCACGAACATGGGTGTCATTTATGTATTAGTCCCTCTCAGACTTGAGAGACTTTTACTCAAGCTTCCTTCATGAGCAGAAATCCCCCGAGTCCGCAGAAACCTTCGTGGTGGTTGTTGCGACCAAGGAGAGTTTCAAATCGTGCGAGCCGAGTCAGTCTAAGGAACCTCGGAGACTTTTATGCTACTTTTCACAAAGATTGAAGCTATTTCCTCCACTCGAACGACCAATGAACACGCTCTTTCTGTCATTTAACAGTCGAGCCAACTTTTGGTATGGCGTTCAACTGCATGGAAAAGTCAGACATGCTACTCGCGGTATAAGGCAACGCTCAACGCCTGCAAACGTATAGAGAATTGATGAATTGAAGATAGAAATTGGTATAGAGCAAGTAACCAGACATAAGTTATAACCAATCGAACGTGAAAAATCAAGAAAAATAATCCTGAGACTACCAAGCTTCATGTGCTCGTTGAGGGCGCTGCTCACCAAATTGGCTAGTTCTGTCCTCAGTAATGATCTCCACTTCGTTCGACACCACAATACCGTTTGACGGTTTGCCTGATGTAGGCGTGGAAGAGCCTTTAAGGTTTTGCAACTTAACGTCGCTCATTATGCGTTCCTCGCTTTCGGTGAAAGTGACGTTGGAGGCAACAGGGTTTGCGCTTGGAGGACCAGTCCGGCGCGATGAATCCCCGTGGCCGCCCCCGATAGTTTGGAAGCCGCTCGGTGTCTTGTATGCCTTTTTCGTGTTTTTGGATGATCGTAAGACATTGGGCCAAAGAGGCTTGAGATATGTTCTAATGAGAGGAAAGATCATAGGAAGGTTCGTGGTGACGACCGCGACGAAGGTTTCGCGAGTACCCCATGCGCCGGCAAGTTGGGCACCATTGACGGGATCCTAGTTCAGTTTTAGTTTGTGAACAAATGAGGCCTTAGTGAACAAACAAGGCCTATAACGAGAGGCTTTTTTGATAGATGAAACCTACCACGAGGACGAATATGCTCTTCAGCGTGGCACAGACCAGGACGAAGATGCCTGCACCAAGCACGATGGTCGACGCAATCTTTTTGACGAGCCTCAATGTTGATTCCCATAAAAGAGGAATAGGAATCAAGATGAGATATATATCGGTCGAGACGTTCGCGGCGAAGGAGGTCCAGATGATCGGTAACGATACGGCAGCTTGACAGGAATCTAAAAAAGAAATGGTGAGGATGCATCACACATTTGGCTTTGGGGTTCATAAACTTACTACCAGGGTCCGGGCTGATTTGCCAATACTTGCTGAATGGAATGCACGACAAGAACACTGCTCCAAGAGAGGCGACAAATGTCCCGATCACCAGACCGAAGCCAATCCAGATGCGCATGCGATATCGACGACCTAGACCTTCCTAAGGGCATGTGTCAGTCGGTAAATATGATGTGATAGGGCTAGATGAGAAAGGGAAAGTACCGTAAGTCGAAGGTAGAAGACCAGCATCGCAAGCTTCAGCAGCCAGATGAGTGCGGAATAAGTGGTCCACCCAGCAATCTGAATCTTCGAGCCGATGACTCTATTCACCAATTCACTTAATGACATCAGACATTGGATTAATGTCACTTACCTCAGTTGATATTCCGGATCACTAGTAGATAGTGCTGCTCGCTCTTCGTCTGTCATACCATTATTGGCGAGCCCATGAGCTATGTTGCCAACGGAGTAGGCTAGGGTTGATTGGACTGTGTAAAAAAGCTGCATAAAGGAGACGAAGATCAGCAACAAACTTTGCTTAGTGTCGTAGCATCATCAACAAGAAAACATACAACTGCTCCCCACACCAGATAGTCATCAGCCCGAAAATTCCGGATCCCAACGGCCTTTGCTCTGGCGTACGTCCTCAAGGCCGTAACGATCACTCCGATGCCGTAAAGTGTCCAGGCCTCGATCGTGAACTGTCGCCCTGCCTCGGCAGCAGCTGCAGCGGCAGCCTGTGCAGCCGGGTCCGTGAGATCGGTGGTCGACATTGGCAGATTCTGTCGCAGTCGACTAAGTGGAGTCGAGATAAGTCCAATGACTGAGGAAACGACCGACCAAGAGAGCAAAATCAAGTGCGGAGTGTCATTCGTACAAGTATTAAATCCTTGGAGCCCAGGAGGAGCAGAACTGAATCAAGGAGGAAGTCTAGATGTTTGAATCAGGGTCTGCGATCCATCACTAGTACAACAGAACCGGAACATCCATCATTGGAAACATGGCAACGGGCTTAAACGCACCAAGTTGGAGTGCAGAGTCCCAACTGATGCAACCCATGGCGGAGGAGACGTTTACCCTACTATCCTCAAGGCGACTTTGAATGAGTTTGCAGGGAACCCATGCAGCCGTTCCTGCTGCATAATTCCATCTCCGAGCTGTGACAGTGCAAACCAAACTTCATGTATGGGATGCACCAATACAAGCCATAGTGTGGTTTCTAAGGTTTCAAGGATCTGTAAACATGTTCGTCGGACGAATCCCGCATCTGGTGAGCAGTACTCGGTACTACCGCAACGGTGATGGCTCAGGAATATGTTACGCTCGCTCATCATCCGGCTTCCGATGGTCTCCTTCATCTCTCCCTTGGCAGTGCAAGTTGTCTCCGTGGTCCTGGCCCTTTGCAGGGTTTCTAGATGGAAGAAGTGGTGGGATCAAAGGCAAGGATACCTTTACTTTAAGAATTGGGCCCTCATCCGCTTCCTCCGCGAACTTCGATCCGCAGGCCTCCTAGCATCAGCTCAGGTTGGAGATGATAAAACAAACACAGCTTCGCAGCCTTGTCTTGGGCCGAATTTGCCTCCGCTCTACCGTTCGGTGGACTATTCAGCGTTCACTTCGCGGAGCTATCCCCCACTTGCCAAGGTCCTAGATCATGATGGTGGAATCGAATCCATGGCTGCCCCCTGACTCGGAAGTGGACAGCTCCCTTGAGCCCTGTAGGGGGCCCAAGCGGAACACGGGTGCTTCCCCCGGTGTAGAGCGCCCCCACTGCCAATACTTTTCTTTACGATAAGGTAAGAAGGATACCTCGGGTGATGCGATGAGGGGGCGGGGGCGAGTTGCGAACACCAGACCTACACGGCCCATGATTTACAAATGGGGCTGCAGTTGAAAGGGCCCAGCCCCGGACACGAGCAGCTGTATTCTTTAATCAGAGTCCTCATATCAGACGGTCATGCCCGAGAACACGTCTAGAAGGAAGAGAAGGAAACGGGAGACTTCACATGGGTCCGAGGGAATGGTTGACAGGTCAAAGCGGCCCGAAAGATAGACGCCTTCCAGATTTTCTGTAGCAAAGGGGCACAGTGAGGCGCAGACTCGGGAAGACTCTCCAGCCTGACGTTCAATCAACCTTCCTGGGCCATAGCTGCCTCGGCTTACTTCCTGATCCTGGTGTAAATGCATCATGAATTCTTGAGCAGCGCCGAGAAAAGGTACTCCACAACAGAAGATACCCCCCAAAAGTCGTGGGCACGAGGGATTTTGTGGCTGCGCCGTCCCAAGTGCCGCACAGCCGAGTCTCTAACGTCTTGTTGCCGCATCGAAGGCAGAATAATGGTGGAGGATTGTGGAGAGTGGAATATATCTCATCGCCGGAGTGCAAAGAGGTGCAACAGGTGGGTAGTATTCGGAGTTTTGTCTCTGACTTGACTTGACTTGGCACTATGAAGTTGGCAGCCGTTCGACTCGTCGCTGCACAGGTGTCCCATGGTACGGGCCGCAGGATTTACAAACACTGGTCGGAACTATTCGCTACGCTTGGACTCCATGGGACGATTTCCCTCTTCGAAGTAACCTTGAAGGATGTGGCTCCGCTGCGGTATTCATGCTGATTGGGAGTTTGGTAAATGAATGTAACTCACTTACAAATGAACACTGGCAGAGACACGTGGATTCAGATGGGGGGCTATATCGAGGCATGTCGCTCACCTGCGTGGAAAGAAAGAGGTCTCTCAGAGAGTACATGCGGTTAATTCCAGCATCGAGAAAGCGCATAAGTCTAGACAATTCGTCGTTGTGTTCCCCGGGATACGCGGACTAAAGCGACAGATATTGACGAGGATTGCGAGGAGCTTTCACCACTTTTGATCAACTTGGTTGGCGACTCCGTTGTAGAAAAAGCAGGGGCGCATGCATGTCAGGGGCACCCAAGCAAGGGCTCGAAATTAAGAATGCAAGCAGCGTTGCGCCCGGTAAACTTGGCTTACAGAAGCCATCACACCTCCCATGTACGATAAATAATGGTCGAAGCGCTGCTGCTTGTCGACGGATTGACTGTTTGGAACCAGGCGCACTCAACCACGAGGGGTCTGTCCATTCACTACCACCACATTCGTTTCGAACTCTCTTGACATCTAGGTTACACTTGGGCCAGATTTTGTGTCACCAGTTGCATCCTTGGGTTTATCGAGAGTTTATCTACTGTCAATCCGGCTCCCCTTTCTCCCCTTTTCCCCCCTGCCGAGATGCATCGATTCAAGATGGAAGTCCTTACAGCCGTTGCTGCATGGGCAATCACCTCAGCATGCCTGAACGTTCCTGTCGCTCGTCAACTGCTCGGGGGCATCTGCGCGAGAGATACGGCTGAGCTCGGTGATAGGCTCTCAGCTACTGCAAAGATCTACCAACCGGGCACTGCCGAATTTACCAACGCATCTATCCGGTGGTCGAACCTTGATGCACCTAAGCCCAATCTCGTAGTGATTCCTGGAACTGAGAACGATGTTGCAGAGACTGTAAGTGACTGACTCTACTTTCGTCCGAGTGTACCCAGGCGCGAAGCAGGTTCTCACTACCCTGCGTACAGGTCAAATTCGCCAACGAGAAGAGCATGCCCTTCCTTGCATACAATGGCGTGCATGGCGCTATCACCACTCTGGGCAAGATGGACAGCGGTATCGAAATCTACTTGTCCCAGCTGAGTGGTGTCGAGGTTGCTGCAGACGGGAATACCGCCAAGATTGGTGGTGGTACCGGGTCCAAGCTCGTCACCGACACGCTGTGGAAGGCCGGCAAGCAGACTGGTAAGTTCCATTCTAGCTTTATCTCCATCACTTATACCTTGTCGAAATGTATCGTTAACCATGGGCTACAGTAACGGGAACTTGCGAGTGCGTCAGCACGCTCGGACCTGCTCTCGGAGGAGGCCATGGATGGCTTCAGGGCCACCATGGCCTGGTCGCCGATCAGTTTGTTTCTATGAACATTGTGCTGGCCGATGGCACCTTGCAGACCATCAATGAGACCTCGGACCTCTGGTGGGCTGTCAAGGGCGCGGGTCACAACTTTGGTATCGTGACCTCTCTTAACGTCAAGGTCTATGACATCGAACATAGCGACTGGGCGGTGGAGACTTTTATCTTCAGCGGCGAGAAGGTTGAGGAAGTCTATCAAGCTGCCAATGAGCACCTCCTTAAGAATGGTACACAGGCCGCAGAAGTCATCAACTGGTCCTACTGGCTCAGAAACCCAGATGCGGACCCAGTGAATGTGAGTTCGACTATCTTGTTGTTGTCCATGAGCACTACTAATCTCACCCAAGCCCATCATTCTTTTCTGGGTCATCCAGGAGGGCGTCACCACCGTCGACTCCAATTACACTCAGCCTTTCCGGGATATCGGCCCCATCTCTGCCACTCCAGCTTCGGGAACCTACCTTGACCTAGCCACGTGGACTGGCATTGCTCTTGACTCCATCCCGTGCCAGAAGGCTGGCTTGAACAACCCTCGCTTCCCGATTTATGTCGAGTCATACAACATCGAGGCTCAACGCAAGGCTTACGATCTCTTTGCTTCTTCTATCAGCGGCAACTCACCCTTCAACAACTCTCTCTTCATGTTCGAGGGTTACTCCAACGAAGGTGTCAAGGCCATTGCAAGCGACTCAACTGCATTCGCCTATCGTAGCGATAATCTTCTCTTCGCGCCTCTCATCACCTACTCCCCCAACGGCACTGAGCTTGACCAGAAGGCCGCCACGCTCGGCAACCAGCTCCGTGACATCATCCATGAAGGAAGTGGCCGCACTGAGCAGCACGTCTACCTGAACTACGCCTTTGGTGATGAGGGTCCTAAAGAGTGGTATGGTAGCGAACAATGGAGACAGGATCGCCTTAAGTCTCTGAAGACCAAGTATGACCCGAACGGCAAGTTCAGCTTCTACGGCCCCATTGCATAGAAGGAGTTGGAAGGTTTTGGATTTGTATCTAGAGGCAATTTGACCAACTCATAAAGTACTTAAATCAATTCTACTTTGGCCCGAACATACCACGTCGTCGATGTCAAGTTGTTGAGCAGGCACGAGCAATGTCAAATACTTCTGCAATGTCGAACGTGTGCGCTCTTTGTATTCTTCAACTCGTATAAGTTACACGAATTAATGAGGGTTACAGTAGTGACCACTGTTGAGTTATACTGCCGAATTCTAGTCAGTCGTTTGATTTGCTCTGAAATGTAACGCGTTTAGTGCTGTCAATGAAGTTGCAGCTCATTGCGCCACGAAATCTGTTCTTATCTCACTAAAGGTCTTGACCATAGTTTACTCTGATTGGGACTTACAGTTTTTTGTCTTTCTGTTCGCCTTGCTCATGTTCTGTACATTCAAAGTTACTCACTTTTAGAATTGGTCTGACAGCTAGTATCTTGCTCAGATAGAAGTTCTGTGGAACGTGGTATTCTAGATGTGTAGCGAGAGCTTTTAGCCGGCCGCATCTCGAACACTTGGAAAAGTTTTGAAGTCTGGCTGAAGTGGTTTTATTCGCTTGCTGCGTCTGTATTGTTTCTCGTTGATATTTCGCGTGACATTTGTCACCATATTGCTGATTTTGCTCTGGACAACCAACACGAGACATTCTGAAGGGCTTCACGGCGAGGTCGTTTTCACACCAATGAAAATGACAACCGAATCAACGTAATATAGCTCGAAAGCTAGCAAAGTCACAGGTTTTATAATTCTAGAATTACGTTCTATGGTCTACACCTGTATGGTGCGTTGATCAATACAAAGTCCGCCGATGTACTTGGACGAGCTTTTTCAAACTTCCAGGTTTCAGGGAGCAGGCTTCAAAGTTGTTAAAGATCGAGGGGTTCTGTTCTTTACTTAGGTACCTTTGCAAAGTTTGATGGCTGAGACAGAATACGCTGAAGGTCGCCCAGATATAGATGAGGTGACTATGACCGACATTGAGACCAGCAGAGTCGCCTAGGCATACCAGCCTCATCAGCAAAAAGGGCACCAGTAATTGCCGACAGAAATACACGGACACTATCAAAGATTCTCAATGAAATAGAGACCTTGTGATTACTTCGGTGAGAAGCCGGGCATCAGTATGAACCTGGTGGGAGGCTAGAATGACCGTCTTCATTCCCGCCCCAAATCTTCGTATTGTGTTCAATGATATTGGAAGCACAGTGTCAAGGACACGCATTAGCGGGCGTTGATACCTGTGGCTGCAACCATGAAATCGTCCCTCGTCTTACAATCATCAATGATGACTACGATGTCTAGAGGACAGCCTTCTGGGGAACGATATCGTCCAGGAGCTCGCCTCTAAACTCTTGTTAGAATCATCTTGACGTCGCCATGGCCTTGTGTGACAAGCTACTCAGACCCAAGAAATCTCGAGAATCACATTTCGGCAAAAAGCCACAGTTTCCAATGAGAACAAGGTAGGATGTGTGGCGTGACTCCTGATGGCAGACCTTCGCCCTGCCGTCATACCTCTGTGAGAAGTTCAACTTACGAAAGACATCAGAATGGCGATATCTACCTGACACCGAATGATATTCAACCTCCCATAAGAATTCAATGTCGCCTTTCAATATGCAGGCGATCTCCTTTTCGTCATGTAGATCTCGATTGCATCAACCCCTGGTGAATCCTGCAGTAGCTGCATCTTTCAGCTCCGAGGCACTAATGCACAAAACGCAAATACTGAGAGACATGTTGCCTCATCCACTTTGTCCGTCAATCTCTCCACTCTGCAGGCCTTTCCTCTCTCTCTCGCTTCACGTCAAAAATCATTGGGCCTGGGCTGCCAATAGCAGCATGAACCCCGAGTACCCCTTCTTTGACGGGTGGATTGCCGAACCAACTAACCACCCATCAAAACCCAGCTGTCGCAAAAGTCCGAGACCGAAAGTTATAGACAAGAACGAGGTTATCCTCGATTGGGCCTTTCAGTTACCCAATGAGGACCAACCTGCATTCCCCGGATCCCATCTTCCAGCTTTCCCTAGCGTAAAAAATCCGAAGCCTCGTCTCTGGGCGAGAGACCAGGGGGGCATATTCAACCACCGAGGGTAATTGTGCATGTCCCGAATCGTTAAGCTGCATGAGTGGCAGAGACATGCATATAGCAAGAATCTGGAATGCAGCTGATACGCCCGTCGGCCAGTCCACATGCGAGATAAATCCCGTATATTGATGGGTTTTATTACAGATGAGGATAGGACTCCACCAGAGGCAGAATCAAGCTGCATGGTGATCGCCTATCCTACTGCAGTCGGTGATGAAGAAATCCAGGGCAATGGCAAGCATCATTGCCAGCAACCCAAGTGAATATCGAATACCGCAAGACTCAAGACACCACCGCTTCTCACAAGTTGGCTTCCAACGCTTCCCCAGGAACGCCTTTTGTGTGTTTCAATGAACGGCCGTGGCATTGCCGCGGCATTGTTGCCACAAGAGGAACGCGTGGGAATAGCCCCCCTCCGAAAAACAAAGAAAACCACGCATAGCCTTCGTGGAAGACAATAGAAACAAGTCAAAACGATAGCCCACGAGCAACGGCTAAAGCCCGCAAGTGCTCCATCCGATACATTCCCGCCGGTTCATGTCTCGACCCCTCAAAACGCCGCGGATGATGGCTGCTGATAAGAGGTCGTGAGGATTCTGGGAACGCCGAGTCCAGCCCATCCTCTATGGAGGAGGCAGACAAGCCACCAACGGGCACCCTGTTGCGGCAAATCGCTCTTCCTGTTGGCTCCCGCACCGCGCGATTTTACCCATTTTCCATTCCTCAATGAACGACGTTCCGTAGTTCCGTTCGTTCCTCAGTCATCCCAATTGTCTTTTACCCACTTCCATGTTCTGGGCCTAGTGGAGGCCGGCTGCCCGTCGCCGCGTAAAACCCGTACCGGCCGGCGTACGCCACAAGTCTCAGTCCGTCTCTCCTCGACCCCTGTCACAGTGCGTCTTCACCTACACCACCCTTTCCTCTCCTCTCTTGGAGCCTCGTTCCTACACATAAATGTCAGGCTTAGGAAAATCCGCGACTCATAATCTGGTCCCGAGCACGTGGAACCAACCATCCCTTCTGAGAGTCCCCTGTTCTCTTTCCGATCGGGAACGCAGGACAGATGAGACAAGCGCCGGTGTTGAGTCGCCTTCAGGGATCCAGCAACTCAAATTCCATTCCTCGGAACCGGGACCCTCATCCCCTGAACGCATCCTAGATCAACCCTCTTGAGTGTCGATATACCAAGACAGCCTCAATACCAAAAGACATGACTGCACACGCCCCTCCAAGCAGGATGAAAAGCAATGATATCTGATTAGAGTTGAGTCTATGCCATCGGCTACGCTACTCAGATGAACCCGCCGCTAGCCAATGTGCCAATTGTCAACACACACCACCACCACCCCTCTCACCATCCTACCCAAACATCACCACCATCGCGACGCGTCTCCACCGGCTCAGGCACGACGCACGCCCGCGGCTACAAAACAAGGAAAGGCCAGGTAGACAACCAAGACATAACAGGGTCGAAGGAGATCTTCCCAGATTCGTGGGATGGCAGCGCCGAAGATCACACTACCTTGACCTCCGAGAGGTCCCCCAGTCTCTTGTCTGAGCTAGACGCGTCCTGTCTCCGAGGCTAGAACGAGGCGCTTTCTTACTTGGACAGGTACATACAGATAATCGATGGCGTATGCCAAGTGGCGCAGGCAAATCGCACCGTCCCCTCTCTTTCGAAGGTGTGGTAGTCCAACCTTTCTTCCTCACATCTCATATGCCGTCAAAATAGTGCGGTTCGGCGCTCTCCACGCGAGGCTCGCTCTGCAGATACGAAGAAAAACCAAATATTCCAAGTGCAGAACCAATTCACGTCCCCAGATGGCTTGCTGGCCGAGCCTAGTAGGAAGGCGTTCAACAAGCGCACAGAAAAACCAAGTATCGACAACTGTGGGTGAGAGTTTCTCCGAGCCACTATCACATCTCGTCCTGCAAGCAGCCGTTCTTGGTTTTTCCTCGCACGAAAGCCACGAGCGGTTCTTGAGCTCGCCTAGGTAGCCCTTCCTACCCAGGCCATGAGGCTGTGAGCTAGACACAGCTAGATTTCAACAACGCCACCATGAGATCGGGCCTCTCCGCGTTTGCTTTTGTGCCCTCATATCAATACTAGCTGCAATATGACTGAATTCAGATTGGGAGAGTTCCACGTTGAACTTGAACTTTACGGAGTAGCCAGCAGACTCATTGGAAGCTCCTCCAGTGAGACACTCGTGCTAGCAAGCTTTCAACCATTCAATGGCCAGTTGCATGAGGGCGCTACTATGACTCGACCGCGCTGACTACATCATCTTCACTAATAAATCATAACAATGACGCGAACGAGCACCTCATTGGCAAATGAATCTGCATACTATTGAATTTCACGTGAAGAAAAGGGAGGCCTAACAGATTGCAGAACTATGCTTCCAACCTGCGCGTCATGTCTCGATATCCAGCTCAGTCAGATAAGCGAATGTAGGGTCAGGGCCGCCAGATGGTCTGTCAGGGAACAGGCATCGTAGGATCCAGGGACCAGAGCAATTTCATTCCGAGGCTGGATCAGATTCTAGGTAATCACGTAATCACTCAGAGCCAACGCCAGCCAAGAAGAGTCTGGGAAATCAGATCGGGTGCGCACGTACGAAATGCACGTTGAAATGACAGGTCTCGAAGCCATGCAGAAGCGAGATCGCATAGGCGCCGATCAAGCGAGCCCGTTATCGTTACCAACGCTGAACTAGATTAAAACGTCGAGAGATTTGGAATGAGGGTACACCGAGATTAATCTCTAAACTCCGTGCCTCCACAAAGCCAGCCGTGTACGTCCGTAGCATCAAGAGTGAAAGTTGTGAACCAAAAGTTCACACTCAATCTCCCCAACAGAAGAAAAGCAGCATTTCGC